TTACTGCAGTACTTTTACACTAGGTGCAGATTCTAGAATGAACTTCTAACTTCTGCAGCATTTTAAGTTCAAACTGGCCATGTGAAGCTGACTTTCCGAGAATGATCCAGGAATTAGATAATAGCTATTTACTGGTTATCAATGGCATCTCTGGAAGCCTTCTGCATTGTATTGTGTTTAATGCATAAGATATTACCAGAAAAGTAAGATTTAAGTGATAGATGGACTCAGGAGGCAAGGGCTGTAAATTACAATAAAGCCAAGAAATAACCAAGCTGCTTTCAATCCTTTGCTCCTGGGAGTCAGCCTGCTTAAAGAGTCCACCTGCAGACATCTCATCTCTGCTTAGTGAAGTAAAAAACTCCCATTTTGGAGGGCAGCCTGTGTTAAATGCCTGGCCACTCGGAAAGCTTTTTATAATGCCTGCAGACCTCCAAGAATGTGTTCCCTCTGATGCGCACCTAATGGCTTCATTAAAGCGAGGATCAATAAGTTAATTTTATTCACTCCACTCACAGCTTGAAGTGTTAATGGCTCATTCTGAGCAATCTGCAGAACAGCTGCTTTTGTAAAACTGGCTCTCGCGTGCTCTCACAGGCACCCCGCTGTAGGAGAGGTTCGGGCTCCAGTCCTGTTTCGACAGGAGTGTGGATCCACAGGCACATCAGTACAGGGCAGAAAAACATTTTAGGGCTGCACAGCACTACAGAGTATTTCATTGGTGGAGAAGTGTACTTCATCTGCCTTTTCCTATAACTTTGTTTTGCGCCTATTTTTTATATACAGTATATACTGTAATGGTCTTTATATTTATATTATTTAAATGTTCTTATGAAATTAAAATGTTCTTATGAAATACAAACCATTAAAATAAAAAACTAATCCTGGCTTTTGCGATAAAAGTTCAGCTTAACTTTAGTCAGCTGTACCAGGTCTTAATTATCTAAGGGACACAGCAAATTGGGGACATCATTTAGCAGTTCTCATGACGGGCACCTACAGGATTAAGTACTGTCTGTGGAGTAAAGTTGCACTGCCCCTGCTGTCAGTTTATCCCCATTCATCAATTTTTGAACGTTTTCTTCCAATACAGGGTCACTGGGGAACCAGAGCCTATTCTGGCAAGGAACAGGCGTAAGACAGGGTACACTCTGGATGGGACACCAGTCCATTGTGGAGGAGATAGACACACATTCATACCAGGGCCAATTTTCCTAGAACCCAATTATCATACAGTACTAGCATGTTTTTGGTCTGTGGGAGGAAACCAGAGCGCCCAGAGAAAATCCACACTGACATGGGGAATACAGACAATAGGACACCAGGTCTGGAACAGAGCCCAGGGCCCCAGCCCTGCAAGGCAACAGTGCTAACCACTGTGCCACTATGCTACCACAGGTTTTTCCCATTCTCCAAAAAATGATAATACTGTCTAGGTAAATAATGCACTACTTCTCTTTCTGGAGATCTGGGACAAATTAAACTGTGTCTCTGTTTTGTATCAATAATAAAGACAGCACTGTCACACCAAAAAAAATATCATGCTGAATACTGGTAAATAGGAGGGTTTTGTTCCAGAAGCCAGAATAACACTTGCAAAGTTTTTCACTCTGTTACAGGGTGAAGTTCTGGAAAAATAGAGCTAAACTAGAAGAACACTTACAAAATCATGGCATGTTCTTAAGTATTTAAACTAAGTAAAAAAAATAAAGAAATGTAGGTACTGTAGGCCAAGCGATGCAAACCCAACTGGAATTATGGCAGTCCAGTCCCATGGGATTGATGACAAGCAACAAATTGGGTCTTCAGCTTTAAGTGTCATTCAAAGTACTCTACCTCCTTCAGTGATGCTTTAGTTCAGAAATTCAGGAAAAGAGAAAGGTATGACACCTACTGGTCTGCCAACACCACTTACAGTAGAAAACTTTTTTTTCCTAGAGGCCTCTTATTCCACTAGTGATGAGTAATGGGTCTTGATCACCTTCTGATACCAGATGAGATAAGGCTTGAAGGTGGTAATGCTTCTGTCAGCCTATTGAATCACAACAGACTGATCACAGTTGGGACTTGGCACTACTAAGAAAATGGAGTTGGCTCTGCTTTTTGAAAAATAGACAGACACAAATGAGGCTCCTTATAAAATGCATCTCCCTTTATCTAATACAGCTTGAGCTGAGCTATAGTTATAAGTCTGCAAAGAGTAGAACAATCAAATTATGGAACATTAATTCCATATTAAAATGGCTGTTCCCTGGGTCAATGAATTATAATGTGATCTATGCCAGACATCTTGCAATGAGCTACTATGTTCAATCTTTAATAAAATTAATGCATTTATATTTAGAAAATGAACCCATCCGCTCTATTAAGTCTCTAAACATTTTTTGTGAGCCGTCATAATGAATTTGGCACCTGCCCCAATAAAGGCCTTTCAATTTATTCGGAAGAAACATCACATTTTTCCCCCATTTCAATATTCCCCCTTCTGTAAGTACTACTATCTTTCATTGTGGCAATATGTTTGTTTGTTTTCCTGCCACTCCACTGCAATGCCTTGTTGGACACGCAGCAGGGGAGAGAAGAGCAGACAAGTCAGAAGGAATGAAGTATTCATTACTGCTTTATCAAAGATAAAGTGGACTTCAGTCAGCTTAAGTGCTCTGCTGCGAGGAATGAGTAAATTCGACATTACCCATAATTCCCACATGGGGCTGCTGAGAAAAGAGAAAGATTACAATTGAGATATTGCTTTGACCCCTGGGTAACTGGCGCAGGCTTTAAACTGCACTGAGCGCCGAGAGAGACAATCAGGATTGAAGTTATGAAGGGCTGTTGGCAGAAGCCCGTGCGCTGTCAAGGTGTCTGTAACTGCAGTGACAAAAAAGTAAAAACTCTGAGCCCAGTGGTGCTTATAGGAGCTGTGCCTGCACTCCAAGGACTCCTGGATTGTCCTCCCCAGGGGTGCTTAAGCTCGGCAGCAAAGTTCAGTGAAATGCAAGAGACAGAGGCACCTTTCTGAACCCTAGGGAATCGCTAACTTTGCCAAAAGCAAATCAATTCTCTGAGAAAGCAGTGTTTGTACTTAGCTGGTGCTGGTGTTCTGGGTTTCAATAATCTAAGATCGTTCACTTGTGTAACCAGCTGCTTGTTAGATTACAGGGAGAAATACTAGTTCTTTATTAATTTGTCTTTATCCAATGTTCAACATATTCTATGCTTATTATACCACCATTACATTGCACCATTAAGACTATAACTGTACACGGTACAAAGCATCACATCACTTAGGGTTCCCCACACAAGCATTTTTGTTTAGAAACAGCACAAATTATGGCATTTCTCTATTGCTCTCCCAGACCAGAACAGAAAACTATACATTCTCAAAATCACTATAAAAAATATTTTAAAAAATGAAATGGCAATGATAAAATACTTTTATATTTTAAACTTCAGCAATCTTTCTAAACCTATTTGTCAGAACATCTTCCTCTCCCATAAGATCGCTATAGAAATCTTAGTGTAAATACATTAGAACTGCAATTAATTCAGTTCCAAAGAATCTAGTATACATTATTTTAGTCTTTGGTAATTTTGCTGTAAGATACATGCATATGCATATGCAAAAAGAAAACTAAAAACATTCTATTTAAATATAAAACAACACAAATATTGTTTTTGAAGGTTTGCTACACACTAGAGGCTGATCATGCCTCAGCATTAAATGACTGATTAATTCAGCTCCCAACAGCAGTGCTACCTTTGCTATGTTACAGAGGGAAAACTGGGTGACACCTGTTACAATTTACAGGCATCTAGTCAAACCCTGTGCCCTAAAAGAAGTGGAATTTGTTTATTGAGAGTGATATGGGTCCTGCAAAAACATTTTTAATATTGAAAGAATCTCGTTACAGACTGAAGCAAAGGTAGCACACTGCATTCATTACAGTCTGGGAACATTTGATTCCTACCTATGGATTAAATAGGCATGTCTGGCTGGTTGTAATTGGCACTGGCTTTCAGACTTATATTTACCACCAACTCCTGTATTTACAGGGGGGATAATTTCCAGTTAGTCCAATTCTTTTGTGTTACTGCAAATAACCCAACCAGAGCAGATTACTTTTCTCTCATGGTTGCTAATAAAATTGTATTTGCATTTTCAACCATTACTTCAAACGATTTTGGCCACAGCAGTCAGAAGGATCTATGGGTAGATGCATTTGTTTTTGGATTCTTAAAAGGCCAGCGTTTATGGCATGATCTGATCCATTTCACAGTTTCAGTACACATCTATTGTAAGTTACTAAGACAAATTGCCTAGCAAGTGGACTAATAATAAGTTTGATGTTGATTAGTTTTGTTCAGGGAAGTCAAAAATTGTTTGTTTACATGGCTGATTTTGACGTTGGCGCAGATCTTAATGAGTTTACCACCCTGCTACGTCAAACCCTGTTAGTTGTGGTGAGAAAGCTTATTAACGAGGGATGCTAACTGTCTCTCAGAATTAACATTTCCTTCCGTTTTATGATAACAGGCAGCGTCGGTATCTGTTTTCCAATGTGTTTGGACATAGGATATTGCTTTCCATTGGTGAATGTATTATATTGCTTGTCAAAAAAGATTTCCATCAAAAGGGTCAGGTACAGGAAGGACAGCTGTAGAAGTTGTAGAAGGCATAAATACATTTCAGAATACACTGTGCATACAGTACCAAAGGCATCGTTTTTCCTGTATGCAGTTGACTAGTTTCTTCAGTTCAATGAGTACATTGTGCAAAGCACAGTGCATTGCAATCTGAAACAATACAAGGCTCAACAACAGATTTATAGTTGTAATATAAACAGTTTACATTTATTTGGCTGACACTTCTATCAAAAGCAACTTACATTTGAACCCATTTCTACAGCAGGGAATTTTGCTGTATCAGTTCACGTGAAATTCCTTTCTCAAGGCTACAACACCTGGGATATGAACCCATGAAAAAATCTTCTCCTTCACAGGGGTGGGGCAAAGTTGTTATGGAAGCCGCCTTGGCACAGAATCGTCTCCACACTAAAAGGACGATCATGGACAGATGGAAGCAGGATGTTATACATAGCTTTGGGGATGCTTTAAAAAGGAAGCCAGGAACTGACAAGGACAAGGTGAGCCAAACATCTTGAAATCCAAATCAAATGCCCTTCAGACATTGTGAAGTAAAACTCTATTGGCATCCTGAGCATTGTAAACAGAATAAAAAACCTAGATCTTTTGAGTTGTATCATTAATATTACAGCTGAAAGGGGAAAAAAACAGAAATAGTAATCCGAAATACATACGGTATACTGTATATATTTTGTGTGCACTTCTTTAGGTTCCCAATACAGTATATAGAAATCTGAGCATCCCAAAAAACATATCATTTACATCTACAAAAACTAATACAAATCTTTTTTAGCAGGTACACTGACATTTTATCGAACAGACATGAAGCTTTTATATCCATATTCATTGTGCTGATTGACATTCTTCATTCATCAGGTTGATATATACAGTAAGAGATGTACCATGAATGTTACAGTGGGGTCACTGCTGGAAGCATTGAGAGATGAGTATCTGTGGGACATGCTTTACACCAGGTTGCAGATGTTGTCATATGGGATTCTGTCCCACTCCTCTTCAAGAGACTGGACTATATGTGCCTGTTACCTCCACTCTCATCTCCGCACATTAGCTCATTCAGTGAAGCAGGGCATCCTCAGCACAACTGTCACATTCTTGTCACTCAAGAAAGCCCCTGTTATATTAGCAGTTTGATAACGTTCATCACTGCACGCCAGGAGAAGCCTGCAGGAAGGGCAGTAAGTGAGGTCCCAACATGTTATCAGTTTAACACTGTGCACTTCGGTTGCCATCTATTACCAGTGGTTTACTGTACTGACTCCAAACTCCTGCCCAGATGATCACACTTGGACCCCCTTGTCGATTGGTCTGTTGTTGATTCCACATCAACAAACCCTCTAGCAATAAAGTGGTTGAAAATGGATGGTTGGAAACATAGATGCTAAAGATACTCATCATCAAAAACATTCTCACAAAGCCTTCTGTTTCCGTAGAGAGGGATGGAGGGAGCACGAGGTTCAATGGTAGAAAATCTGTATTCTTCACACACAGCATTGTAAATGTACTACATGATACATGAAGCAATAGAGATAGAACTACATTTTCTTCAGATATGTTGTAAGTGTACAAAAAAACAGCTCTACCTTTCCTTATGGATTAATTAAGAGATCTTGTAACTTTTGCCCTTTCAGGCATACCTGGAGCTATTATTTTGTACAGTGTGTAAGAAGCGTCTTGTTTGATATTCAGTGCATGCCTCAGAGAAGCAGGTGAAGGAGAAGAAGCATCACCCAAGATTCCCCAGCCCTGCACCTCTTTAAAAGCGTTCTCTTGCTGGTGGCATTCCCTTTACTGGCATTTTCATCTGACTGGACTGGCCTTTAAAGTCTTCTCCCCTCCTGCTTCTAAAGAGAGCCCGCTTTCAAAAGTTCACAACCACTGCACTAAGGATTCAGAAATGCCTCTATAGCCTCGCAGACCTGCAGACCTCACAAAACTGCTTCTTGTTTAATTTATAGGTTATTTCATGGAGATAAAAAAAAATAAAATGCGCTTCATCCAATTCAGGGTCACAGGTGAGCTCCAGCAAGAGACTGGCACAAGGCAGGATACACCCTGGACAGGTCACTAGTCCATCACCGCACACACACAGACACACACATTCACACCAAGGTCAATCTTCCCATAAGCCAATTAACCTACTAACTAACCTCTTTGGACTGTGGAATTAAACCCACACAAACTCCAGGGCCTCAGAGCTGTGAGGCAGCAATGCAAAGCACTGTACTGTGGTGCCAGCCTTGCCAACATTAGTATCACGATCGCTAGCCCCTCCTCTTAAGGGAGCTCCAGCCCTTCCTCGTTCCCTCCCATTGTCTGCACCTGTCCCCTATTCCCGTTCCCCCTTAAAAGCCAGACGCGGACCTCACTCCTGGTTCCTCATTGATTTCCACATCATGAGAGCCCGGGGTCCTGCTGCGTCTGGCTCAGTTATGCTTTTAATTTTCTGTTCCTAGTTCCTGGTTCCCCTCGCCGGTTCCAACCCGGTTCATGTTTTAACTCCCTGGATGGATCCCCTGGCCTTGGACTCTACCCTTTGTCTCGGATTACTCTTTTGGATTTCCTACATGGATTGTTCGCCTGGACTCACTTCCCCTGGACACCTGCACTGCATGGACACGCCCCCCGTCTCCAGACCCTTTTCCTGCATGACTATTTTTTCCCCTTGTGTCTTCACTATTCTGGATCGTGTCGTCCGCATAGGGCACGGAAAGAACTGTTCGTTACAATTAGTGTCTTTAAAATAATCCATCCAATGTTCTTTACAGATAAATCTTACTTTAACATTCAATACAGAGAAATAGAAAAACACAAACATTTAATTAGGCAAAAGGGAGAGATTTCTTTTAATTGTTTAGCACTGTCCTATAAAAAGGATCTGTATTGACCATTCAGGAGTAGAATGAGAAAGAAAAGCTAAGAAATGAGTTTCTGCCTGCACATCGCTGAAGAGAAACAATTACAATTGCAAACATATGCTCATCAAGTTTCTAATACTGTTCAAAACAGCAGACTATCTTACTCAACTGTTGTCAGAAAATGAACTGATACTTTTTAAAGGGACAATAAACTTTGACATTTTAGCTACAAATTCAGGTCTAAACATTATCAGACAACTCCAAGATACCCTAGTGGAATTGTATTTATTTGTTTTCTTGTTTTGTTTTAGGGAGGACCTGTGTACAGCTCACTTGTTCTTTAAAAGTTAAGGGCACCTTGAACAGTCTGCGCAGTGATGCCTCTACATCCACTAAACTGCCTCCCCACGGGGAGCTGCTTGGCTGAACTGTGTGCAGTTTGCACCTTCCCTACAGTTGTTTGAGTAAATAGTTAATGATGTTCACTTTGTTTGCAAAATAAAGATTAAATTATTAAAGGATAAAAACAGGCAGGCATCTAGGATGCCTCAGAAGTATAAGAGCATTGACCTAAGGGGATGGAAGGGAAACCAAAATCGAAAGCAAGTTGTTCCCCCACTTTTCGTGTTTTGCCAGCATGTTAAATCTGACACTTCAGCACTTAAAGAAATGAATAAACCCAGCCTGGATTATTGAAGACACTCTAGGGTAAATTGAAGAGAGTGTCCTGTGTTACCTTTGGGATTCCTAGCCTTACAAGCAGAATGGATGTCACGCAGTGGCCCTCCAATGGGTACGAGAGGCCTTTGCTTTTCTGATTCTCACTTAAAACATTAATCCTTGTTTCCATTTCTTTCTCCTCTTAGTACCCAGGAAAGGTGCGGGATAGATAGAGCAGCCACATTGAAAACATCTATATTGCATAATTGGTGCTCTTTCAAGCCAAAGAGCCTGAAGCACTTTGCAGCAACCCCCTTCAGTTAAAGTGCACAAAACACGTGCAAGTCCAGGCGCTCCCCTAGCAGAAGACCACAGCCGCTCGGAGATGTTGTTTCACGTTCCAGCTCAGCCTTAAGGGACAGTGGAACTGGGAGGATTGTGGAGAGAAATCACCCTCTGTGGTGTGAGAATTAATCAGGGAAAGTTAATTAATCAGTTGCCCAGCACAGTGACCTTTGCTTGATCTTGGTTTGACGTAAGCTGCATTCAATTCTTTTTTAATGAAACCGAGACAAACTACTGTGACAAGCAATAATCTCCCATGAATATATGATGTACATGCAGAGTGCACATAACTATGTCCTGAATGGCAATATTGATCAACATCACAGCAGTGGCTGTTACATTCCTGTATTCTTTACAGTAAAATTGAATTACATTTACAGCTTTTGTATGGTTTCCTAAGGCTTCACTGATTTCTTCAGAGTCTTGGTGCCTCTTTGTGGTTTTCAATTACTGTTTGTTTCAGGTTGGAATTTTAGTTTCTTTAATAAAATAAAACCGAGAAGATATCTCAGAGAATTTTTTGTGTGTGAACCCAAACATAATGTAGGAAGTCAGTTTAGGTAGTTTATGCCTCGAAAACATTGTCTGAGGATTGTTTCTTATTGTTTCTTTCGAGTCACAGAACATCTTGCCATTCAGATACCGTATTAGGATTTGTACTGAAAGCTGTTTCTGGTGGAAATGTTCACTGGAGTGGGTAAACTGAACCTCAGCAGTCAAGGGAGATCGAAAACCAGAAGTCTTTTCTATGGTAGATTTTTTTAATATCTATAAAAATGCAGGAGTTGCAGTTTTGTGTCCATTTTGGGTAGGGAACTTATAGAAAATATATGCATCAAAACAGGATAAAAGCTAGCCTTATATAATTCCCTCACCTATGATTTTCATGAAAGGTCTGTCTTTTGTCTTATTCCCCTTTCAATCTTTCTCCACAGTCCAGCTGTTTTCTGCTGTTTTGTACTGACACAGGAAAGCTGGCTGAGCTGTTTCTGCACAATCAGATACTCTCTGCAGGTTCAGCCAGGGAGAGTTCTTATGAAGTTCATCGGGGGACCTAAACCTGATTTAAAAACTACAATTAAAAACAAAAATAGGAGCCTTGCTGCTTTAGTCCTCTGTGTCCTTTTGGTTCTTGCAGCCTTGGGAAGTCTTTCCAACAGCTGTTTTCAAGTTAGTTTGGCACACGAAAGGCTAAGCAGGAACAAGAGCCAAATCCATCAACTCGTATACAGTATAAAGCAGAAGAAGGGGAGTTCATAGGAAAAGTACAGGTGTAACACATATTTTAGTTAAAAGTTCTCGAAAGCGACTTACAGTATAATCACATCAAATCAAGATGCAAAGGATGCAGATTAGAGTTGCATAAAACAAAAACAGCCACATAAATACAGTAAGCAGAGTGTTAATCACAGTACGAGTTTGGATGTGGCTTAGGGCCAAAGAGTTTCAGTGCTGTTTGACAGACAGACAGCTGCAGTAGTCAGTTAACTGGGGCTTAGTAATGGGCCTCTGGGGTCAGGTATATTCTGAAGAAACGAGTTTCAATTTCTTCTGAAAAATAGCAAGTGAGTCTGTGGTTCTGACGATGGCAGGTAGGGGGCAGCACGCAGAGCAGTCGC